CCATATATTAAACTGGAAATATAATAACTGGAAAAAAATACTGTGATATATATGACAGGGTGACCACAACAGCGTTAAGCCAATTACTGCGGGCCCAAATAATGTCTTAAATGAATTGCACTATGAACAAGAAGAATACCATCAGTGAAATGTCATGACGATATAAATTTCCCTAAACTGTGTCTTCATGGTTTTTATGTATATTTTCTTCTGTGAAGACATTATTTACATCTGAATATGATACATTTCAAGCTTAGTAATCTATAAAAGGTGCAGCAAGCCAAAAACTCTAACCAACCTATTTTGAAAAAGCTTTAATCAACTTCATCATCATCATCATCATCATCATCATCATCATCATCATCTTTGTGATGATTTTACATTCATTTCTTCAGAATATTTTATCGACATTTCACTCATTTGACTTGACATTTCACTTGTTTTCATTAGGTGTTGAGGAAAATTTGGTGCGAGATATTCGTGCTGTAGCCCTGGATGGAGTGCAACCAAGTAGTTACATTAGAGCCTTGCTCACCCTTGCGCGTGCTGCGGACGATCTGCTGTGTCTTTCTGATCCCGTCCTGAAAAAACACTTCTCTAAGGGTGAATATGATAAAGCCAAAGAACGAATCATTGCATTAGTTGGTATTGACAAGAAGAGCAAAGAAAAATATGAAGCGGTTTGAGTTACGTCTCAAAAAGGGCCCAATAATAGGGCATTTTTTGAGTTAGTGCCAACTCATCCTAAACTTAACGCTAAAATTTCAACTTTCTTACGTTTCTTAGTATTCATTTCTTACGCGTATTCAATTACAGCCATCATTATTATTGTACGTGTACACAGACAAGAGCACTCAATTTGGAAATAAAGCAATGAATTTGAACTGAGTGTGTAATATTTGTTTTGTTTTGTCAAGAGAACCGTATATGAACTAGTTAATTTTCCCTTAATTTTGTCTTTCAAATATATAATGTAATTGCATTGGGGATATGTTGCAAACCAGGCCGGTCTATAGGCCGGACTTTCGGCCGGACTTTAAAATTTGCAGTCTACGTCGGCGCTGTACGGGAACTGGGCAACGCTTTTAGATTATTGGTAAAAAATAGATAGTTTTTGACAAAACAGAGCAATTTTAAGAGACAGGCCTAAGTTTTTCTCTTACTCACCCGAGGCTTTCGAAGAAAACGCAGGCAGTTTACTGGGAACGAGATTGGACTGGGCTCTGAGGTTAAAAGTGAAAAACAAACAAACAAAATCCGACAGCAGCGTTATGGGCTTCCTGTGGATGATTGAGAGAACGATTTATGTTAGATCATCAATGATTCAAATTTTTATGCAAATACTTTGTTATATAGTGTTTTTATTTCTATTTTTCTTTTTTTTCTTTTTGTCGCAGAATTTTTYCCCCCACATATTAAATAATTTCTGGATATGCTTTTTTCATCATTTGACCAGTTTATTTCCTGTTTGATCTATTACTGACGTCATGACAAACGTAGACAATTATCACCATGGTGACAACAGTGATTGAGCTGAGTTTGACAAGAAAGTCCACAAAAGTCTAGTTTAGGAAAAAGAGATGAGGAAAAACCTCGACTTTACAAGGTAAATGCTTATAATCTCCCCTAAAATGTTAAGAAGACTTATAAAGTTGGAATAATTTAGGTCAAAGCAAAATAAACAAGTTCAAAGGTAAGAAAAATATAGCATATAATCAAAAACGAAAAAGGTTTATGAAGGTGAGCTAAGATGAAGTTCAATGTCTTATTCCTGAATTAAAATAGAGCTTAAAGTAATAAGCTTGAATGAAATACCAAGGGATGTTCCTAAGACGACAATCTTTGGCTTGAAGTTTCTCAAAACAATTAAAACTTTTTCATCGGTTTGTCCAAAGCTAATAAGGTCTACTTGAAGCGTGTTTTGGCTCTGACGCGTGGAAAGCTAAGCAAATAAGCTCAATAGGAAATCATATTTCAAACCCGAAAGTTTTACTCATTGAGCAGATAATGTTTTTAAACCTATTTAAATGTCGTGTGTAAAAATACTTTACATTGTCGAGTTTGCCACTGAGTATTGCCATTTTTTCAAATTGTTTTTCCCTTTCCATTTTTATCTTTATTATATATATATAGTTATATATTTATTATTTACAAAAGCAATCAAAACTCCGGCATTGAAACGTTTTTTCACTTTAAAAATTTTAAGTAAGGCTAAGGAATTTGTGAAGGTAATTTTTGCAGATTGTTTTTTAGTTAGATTGTTTGTTAGTTTGCTTTATTTGTAAGTTTATTAGTAACTTACATGCTTTGCCGTTGTTTTTTTTGACAGATGTCTTTTCAACTAACAGAGTTTGGCGGTTCAAACCCGATAAACTTTTAAGAAAATGAAAGAAGCATCATTGATTGTGTTCAGCTGGACATTGGTCATCATGCTTTGTATGTATTTCCCGGTCGCTTCGACAAGGTAAACAAACTTTTTTAATGAGATATGCTTCCAAGCTCATGCCAAGCTCTGCTTTTGGGGGGTTTCAGTTCACGTTTTGTCAAATTAGAATACGCACCAGAATTGAAAACAGACCTGAATATTATAGCAAGAAGGCAAAGTGTTATCAATATCAGTACCTTGGAGTATACGAGAGGGGCAAACAGCTTGGGGCCCCTGTGGGACGAATACTAACCTTTTACTATCCGTGACTATTTACTCATTTCAAAGCCCTACAGGGGCGTAGCCAGAATTTTGTCTTGTGAATAAAGTTATGATAAATATCTTTTAAGGTCTACTGCTAATGCATCACAAGTTCTTAAAGATCTTCTGGACCCTACTTATTACGATAAACGATTGCGACCAAATTTCGAAGGTAATAACACATACTCAGTTCCATAATCAATTTTAAATTATTACAAACTAGATTTGAACAAACGAAAAAGTTGATAAGTTTTGCAGTCATAAGCACAATGATGTTAGAGGGTCCTGAGGGAATAAAATGGGAGCTGGGATACGCCTTCTTGGGCTAGGAAAATGGGATTTTATGAACTGGGAATCAATGGGGTATCAAGACAAAAATCAATCTATAATATGAATATGAATAAAATTTCTCATTGTAAGTTTGGAAAAAGTTTGTTTATAGACCAAATTCAAAACTCGCACCGATGTGAGGCTTAAGTTGTAAACAAAGGAATCTGGCGTGATTCGTGACTTTTAAATCACGCCAGATTACTTTGAGTCACGCCAGATCCCTTTTTCACAACTTAAGCCTCACATCGGTGCAAGTTTTGAATTTGGTCTATAACACTGATTACTGTTTTTTTACAGGTGTTCCGGTGGGAGTATCGGTGAGTGTTCACGTAACGTCAATAGGAGGACTAGACGAACAGGAAATGGTAAGAAATGAAAGTTTTAAAATTTATCATGGGGAGTAGTAACGAGGGAAAAACCCCTGGGTTATGCATTATACTTTAACTGTAATAGGCCATTTTTGGACTTGTAAAATACTTTGCTGTGTTTCTTGACTAGAGATTCATTTGCGGAGGTATGGCCTTAATTTTGGGTAGAATATTGATACTTGATGCATTATTTTCCAAAAAAAAATTTCGTGAAATTCCGAAGTGCTTACATATTGTTATCAGTTGTGTATTTTTTTACTTCACCTTCGCTATATTTGTTAATATTTTGACATTAAAATGAAGCTTACCATGTGTAAATAAATCTGAATGGAAATAATCTGAATACATTATAAAAATAGCAAAAAAAAAATTCTTGATATTTCTTTGTGAAAAAGCAATTTGCAACCACCTTCTTTCTACGACAAAGTTGGAAAGATCCACGACTTGCATTTGGGGATACTTATAACGCAAGGAATCTGACGCTTAGTGGTGACATCATGGAGCAGATATGGAAGCCAGATACTTACATTAACAACGAGAAGTCCAGCAACGCCCCTCCAAAACAGTTTTTACTTACGATCTTTCCAGATGGAACAGTATGGTATAGTCAAAGGTATGGTGTCTTTTTGATTAAAATCTTGAATATTATGTGATCGCTTTTATAAACAATTGAAACATCGAGCGTTCATTGATGACGTCATCCTATAATAATAATAATAATAATAATAATAATAATAATAATACAAATATTTATGCAGGATAAAGACCCTTCAACAATAATGCTGTTATCAATGGGGGTCCTGCTGAAAATAACATAAAGAAACAAAATGTTAAAAAACTAAAAATGAAAAATAGTCTCTAAAATGATAAAAATATAAATTAGATCATTTATGATAAATTCATTTATAGTGTTCATCTAAAAGTTTTTTAAAACCCTTAAAATTTTTCATCCTTCTTATATCTATAGGAAGTTCATTGTATATTGTTCATTGTTCATTGTATATGATATCTTCTTCGTGATGTTTTTTGTCTTCATTTGATGGCGATACCTTTATTTGTAAAATTATATATGATTTAGGATTCCTGAAAAAAAAATAAAAAAATAAAAAAAATAAAGCCAAAAGTTTGAATATTAGTCAAGTAGTCAAGCTTTGAATTTTTTGGTAGTAATTTTTTTATCGCTTCTTTTCTTCAAAAAATGTTGATACGCTTATGTTTAATTGTGAATATCACGAAAACGACCTCGGGAAACACCTTAGTTTTTTTCTTTCCAGATTTTAAATTTGGGTTAAAAAAATCGTGATTGAAAACCTTTCCATGAATGGATTTTTTATTCATAGTAGGTAGTCACCTTAAGGCCCCGTCCACACGTATCCGGAAATTTTTGTATCCGCAAATTATTATTTTTGCGGATACGGGTTGCGTCCACACGTGTCCGCAAATTTTTGTATCCGTATCCACAAATTTTACGAAAGCGGATACGTGTGGACGGTGATAACGATTCGAATACGCTGCGTGTGGACGCAAACATTTTCGTATCCGCAAAAAATAATTTGCGGATACAAAAATTTCCGGTTACGTGTGGACGGGGCCTAAGTCAAACTAATGCATGCAATACTTCTAATTGATAGGATGACTGTTGTTGCTACGTGTATGATGTACCTATTAAACTATCCAATGGACAAGCAATACTGCAGCATATCCATTGAGAGTTGTAAGTCTACGTCAATCATTTAACACTTGTTTACTGGGACCAAGGGAAATAGTGTGTTTTGTAGTCCCGAGACGACGATGAAACTCCACAGGCAGCCCATTCTCGGTTTTTTCTTTATGTATATTGCAAAAATTCGATATTTATGAATCCATCTTTATCTATATTAAAATCGTTCAATAGACTTGTATGGAACTTCTTGTGTCTATTTTAGTTATTTTTAGACAAGGGGGGGTGGGGGTGGGGGCGGGATTTGAGGTAAGAAAAACCTTGAAATGAGTTTTTTTTTTTTCGTGCAAATAACCACTGTACCTCATCATAACCATTTGAACCTGTTTTGTGTACTGATCAATACCTGTACTTATCGCGATGTTTGTTTGCTTGTTGTTAATTACAGTTGGCATGAATACAGATGAACTTTTTCTTTTTTGGGTCTCTCCTACATATAAGGATTCAATAGTCATAGCTGATGAAGTTACATTGTCACAGTTTGCACTGGATGAGTACTCGGCGACAAAGATCTTGGCCAGTTATCCAACAGGTAGGTGAATCTACTTATTCCTGTCTGTCATTCGGTATGCCTGACCGCCTGACCACCTGACTATCTGTCAATAGACGACTTGCACTAACAGGTCATTTGACCCTACCTCCCTTTAAACGAATAGCCGTGTCTGTTTGTTTCTCGCTCTTTTTCCCGCTATCCATTCAGCTATCCGTATATCTGTATGTCTATCTAATTGTCAGTCTGTGTATATATCTTTTTGATGGTCTGTCTGACAGTCTTCGTTGGTCCTCTTTAGAATTTAAGTTGTTTTTTTGTTTGTTTTGTTTTAATTCGTTCTTAATCCTATCAATCAATCTTGATTCTGTATTTCAGATTTTTCATTTCGTGTCAGCTTTCAGACTTGACACTGAATATCTCAGATGATTCATGTTTTTCTCCTATTTTGATCTTAGGGAGTTTCACAATTCTTAAAGTGACGTTTCTCATTCGCCGCAAGAAGTTTTACTATGTGGTCCAAACTTACATACCAACGATGCTCATCACCATTCTAAGCTGGGTAACCTTTTGGATCCCAAGAAATTCACCTCCAGCTCGGGTGGCGCTCGGGATCACCACAGTCCTCGCCCTCACTACGTTGATCTTCGGAATCCAATCGTCAATGCCGAGAGTTAGCTACGTCAAAGCAATCGACTGGTTTTTGATGATCTCATTTTTGTTCGTGTTTAGCGCTCTCATCGAGTATCCTGGCTCTAGATACATTGAGTCACATGCGAAAAAAATTACTAAAACTGGAACGACTGTTCTTCGTCTAGTGAAAGGAGTGCACGCCTTTGAAGGCGGGGCCAATGCAGCCAAGTCCACTTCTAAAGAGGTAACATCCATCCAAGTTTTATTCTATAATTACTAAGTGGGTTTCTGCCCTCGAGCATCACTCATGTTATCGTAATATAATTCTAATTGTAGAGCAAATAGGGCAGACTTCGTAACATTGAAGCAATGACAGTGCACTTCACGCCGTGGTACCATATAACGCGTGTTCGAGCATCTAGATGGGCATTGATCTTGTGCGCTTGCATTGATTCAGAAGATGTCGTCAACTCTGTACCATAAAGTCGGTCTATTTTTTTTTTAATGACCTCAACATATTTATCTGATTCAAAATTTTGATACAGCTTTTACTTCTTGCAACACAGAAAGCCTGTTGCGCGCAAGATAAGAACACAAGCTTCATTCTCTCTGCAACTTGAAAAAAACATGTTGCACACGAAGTTTCTGCCCGTTTTACCTCAGCGAAGCACGGTTGGTGTAGCGCTGAGAACGTACGACTTACAACAATGCCATTCGATTCCCGGACTCGGTATCGTATGTGAGAGTCGTTTGTTGGTTCTCCCCTGTTTTTCTCGGGTTTTCCAAGCGTTCTCCAGTTTGCCTCCCTCCACAAATATCAACTTCTAAATTCCACTTCGATCATGTAACGAGGGCCACAGGTTTGCTAGTGAGTCACTAACCCTCGTAACACAAGGACAATTTACAAGTTCACCTTAGGTATGTGGGAACGTGCCGCGCCGAACAGTGACCGTACCACAGCTGATTGCGTAGCCGGATGCTGCCATTTTTAGCGTAACCTTGGCATTTGCCGACTTCACTTAATTTTGTCACATCAATTCAAGCTACAAAATATTCGAAGACAGAATTTTCCCCACATTTGTATGTGAACGGTTTTGCCACATAAATTGAGTTTTTGGCTATGAACGAATGTGGAGAGCAGGGACTTGTAGTGTCGGTATTTGTATTATTCGTGCCGCAGCGCATCATTCTGTTCCTTGAGACCTTGAGGTGAGTTTTTCACAGGTCGGGCATACTGCTCTGCATGACATACAAGTCATAGTAGTTTTCTAAAGCGAGATTTTGTATCTTCGTTTTCAGCCCAGCCAGCTCGACGTGGAGAGTGCACAAGTTAATGAAGTAAGTACTTGAACTAGCTAAAAAAATTTACAGGCATCGAGACTAAGGTAGACTAAAGATATCTGATTCAGCATCTATATCTAAATGCCTAATTTGATTTTACTTTTGATTCTCGATATATATATCTTTGGAGTTCACGCACTAAAACCGTGAACATTAAATAGTACTAATTAGTACTATTTCATACAGAATCCTTTGTTTTCTACTGTTTAATTATCACTATTTAGTGCTAAAAATTAGTTTTTGTTTCACGGATTTAGTGTGAGCACTCTATTTACACGAGCTAATTTAAGCAGTGGTAGTGATTAGCGGTTACTAGCTGGAATAGCGTTGGTGTGTTTAACCATAAGATGGAATTACTTAAACACGTGTAAAACGTTTGTAACCGTAATTTAAAACACTCATTAATAATTCATAAGCTTATGGTCCAATTGGAGCCACCATACACGTCACGTGCATGAACCTTTATACTCGATAAAGTCCTCTTCATTAGTATTCAAGTGATTTTATATAAAGACACATGTGTCTTTATATAAAGACACATGTGTCTTTATATAAAGACCACTCGAATACTATGAGGATGACTTCATCAGGGATGAAGTATGCATCCAAGTTTAGATGTAGACATAGAGCTTCATCAAGGTCATAGTCAACCCTAATGATCTTTGACTAACGTGCCAGTCTTTTCCTTGGCACGCAATATCCAACGTGTGGGAGCTTCTATTGAATCTGGTTGCGCATGCCCATGACGTCAAATCTCTATCGAAGTATAAAAATCCATGTTCGTGACGTGTATGGTGGCTCCAGTTGAACCAAAATCTTATAAATTGTTCATGAGTGTTTTAAGCAGTTCAAAAAACTCGTAGATCGTGTTTTATCAAGTATAAAAGCACTCGGCTACGCCTCGTGCTTTTATACCTGATAAAACACTCCTACTCGTTTTTTAAACAGTACATAATGACGTTTCAGACTTTAGCCCATTGTCAGAGTAAAGATTCGGAGTAAAAGTTAATGTAAGTTAATGTGAGTGGTTGAGCGAACGAACTTAAAGCCACAGGTTGTGACACGAGATATACTGATGAGCATGATTGCGCACTTGGTGTAGTAGCGCCTTGATTACTCGTACGTATCACTCTGTAGTGCTAGGCTCAGTCAAACGTCGAACTTCACATGAGCCGAACCTAATTGAAACAATGGATAACAAGGTGGCCTTTTTGTCATTAGGTTCGGCTTTTGTGAAGTACGACCTTTGATTTTAGTCTTAGAGTTCCTGAAAGATTGCATCTTAATAACTTTGTTATTTCAATCTTGTTTCCAGCCCGAGAAGCTGGATGTGGAAAGTACCGCGAAAGTTAGCGATGTAAGTAGTTGAACAAATCTTTATGCATCGTGATGGAATGATCATCAAGATCGTATTTTATTTGAAATTCGCCGCAATTTTTATTATTTTGACGGAAAAGATTAGACTCGAATATCAGGGTTCTAGAGAATTCCCAAACCTAGAGTTAATGAAGTATTTTGTTGGTTGAACAACTCTTAGTCAAAATCAGGTGTTTTCAGTGCCAAAGGTGCCACCCAAATGTAAAGACCCATGGGTAGAAAACAAGGTGAAAAACAGGGTTCCCAGGGGTCAGGGAAAAGTCAGGGAATTTTTTATTTAGTCAGGGAAATTGTGATTTTCACCTAAATTCAGGGAATGTTTTTTAAAGTTAACCTTGAGTATCCGTGTGATACTCATACTGTTGCAATTTTCGGATAGACTGATAAATATTTTCAAATAATGAAAAAAATATTGAAGTATTTCATTTATGCCAGACTTTTTAATTACGTTGGGCATCCTGTGTTATATTTTAAGAGTGGGGCCTAGGTAAAAGTTATGCATGTGGCCCATGCTCGCCCATGCGGCCCAACAAGGTCAGTGAAAACTGTTATTTAGTCAGGGAATTTTTATTTTCAAAATTTCTGGGAGCCCTGAAAAAAAAATGCGTCAAAGTATGAATGTAAAAGAATGACATTTTTTTTCTATCAGGGCGGGGAAAAAGATGCGAAAAAAGTAGCAGCTTTTGATGGAGTTGCTGACATAATCGCCGACCCTAAGAAAGATGAAACACCCAAGAAAGGATGGAAGCGCATACGAAAGATGGAAAAACAGAAAAAAGAAAAGATACCTGACGGTGAAGATAATAATATAGTTGATAAATACGCTAGAATTGTGTTTCCTCTTCTGTACTTTTTGTATAATGCAGCTTATTGGGTTGTATATTTATTCGAAATAGATCTGCTCTTACGGTAAAGCTCGTCTGTTACGCAATTCTGCATTAAAGCAAACATTACACGATGCCGCAAATCAAGATTGCAAGACAAAATCACGTATAGTATTTGTTCTGATCTGGAAATGGTCTTTATCAAGTACCATACAAAACTTCGGGTTTCTTTTATTAGAAGAAAAACCCTTACATCACCCTACAAAACGTTTTTTCGTTATTTTTTAATGTAAAATAGATGCAACATCTAAATAGTCATTTACACATTATTACAAACAAAGTTTGCATTTATAGCAATTTTAGAAAGATGTCTGACTATCTCAATACTAATTTTGGGCAAACACACATTTGGTTTGGTTTGAAACTAAAACGATAGTTTTAAATAAACTCATAGACATAATATGTGTAGTGAGTACCAACCCCGCGATAGCAATTCTCCCGCCCTTCGCCTTTCCCATATTCTTTATATGTCTTCAGCACATTCGGCCCAGACCAGCATTCTCCGTAGAACTTCACACCAAACGCTTGATACGTCGGGTTGCGCTGCTTTACTAAGCGCGCGCATGCGTCAACAGTAGGCTTGAGATTGGTCCATATGATCTTACTGCGCATGCTCCCTAAGTAAACCGGAACAGCGTGTGGACGACCATCACGATAGCACCCTAAGGCTCTGTAGCGGGGTGTTATTCCTATGTTGTTGGAGCCAACTAGTGAAAAATAAAAATGTCATTAACGTTGGGAAAAAATATTTTTCCACTAGAAATAACAGACAGGATTTAGTTTATACTTTTCTTGAGTAACACGTACCAGAACATAGGATATCGGAGTTGCAAGGTTCTTGTGTTGGTGGGCGTGATGCGTGACGGCACATATGTGGCGCCAGTGGCATGTAATGGCCGTTCTCGTTGAGGCGACGGCAAGCAAGCTTCCTCGTTACCAGGCCACCAGCACATGTTTTGGAACACTATAAACACACAAAACCAATTTGTAGTTTATGAATATCAAGATTAAAAAAAAAAAAAAAAAAAAAAAAAAAAAAAAAATC